GGGCAAGAGGATTAAAAAAAATATTTGAAGACATAATGACGGAAATTTTTCCAAATTTAATGAAGACTGTGAACTCACAAATTGAAGAACTCAATGAACCCTAAGTAAGAGAAAGGAAGTAAAGTACATCAAGGAACACCAGAATCAAATTGTTTAAATAAGTAAAAGAGAAAAGTCTAACAAGTCAGGGTAGAGGGGGTGGGAGGGGAGAAGCATCTATTCAGGGGACAAAGATAAGGAAGGACAGCAGATTTCTTGCCAGAAAAATGCCAGCCAGAGGCCATTTTCAAAGTACTGCAGATGAAAGTCACCACACAAGAAACACCACCACTACACACCGACTAGAATGGCCAAAATTGAAAACACAACCATACCGGTGCTGACGAGGATGTGAGGCAACTGGAGCTCTCTCATATGCTGCTGAGGGAACGTAAAGCAATACAACCGCTTTGGAAACAGTTTGTCAGTTTCTCAAACAGCCAAACACACCCCTGCCGCATGACCCAGCCACTCCAATCCTGGGTATTTACCCAAGAGACATAAAAGCACATGTCCACACAAAGATTTATATACAGGTGTTCACAGCAGCTGTACAACAAACAGCCCTAAACTGGAGACCATCTCAATGTCCCTCAACAGGTGAATGGATAAATAATCTATGCTGTATCGGCACACCAGAACAAAAGGAATGAACAAATGATGTACCCAACAGCATCAGTTAATCTCAAAATAATTATACTGAGTGAAAGAATTCAAACATATTGTAAGATGATGTTTATATAAATATTTTTAAAAGATTTACTTATTTCTTTATTTTAGAGAGAGAGAGTACAAGCAGGGGGTGGGAGGGCAGGGGGAAAGAGGGAGAGAGAATCTCAAGCAGACTCCCCACTGAGCATGGAGCCCGATGCAGGGCTCGACCTCATGACCCTGAGATCACAACCTGAGTCGAAATCAAGAGTTGGACACTTCACCAACTGAGCCACCCAGGCACCCCGTGTTTATATAAAATTTTACATAAATACAAATGAATCTGTAATGAAAGCAGATCAGTGGTGGCCGGGGGGATGAGAAGGTAACAGGAGGAAGGGGCATGAGGGAACTTTTAGGGACTGAGGGGTATGCATATTGTCTTGATTATGGTGAGTGTTTCCCAGGTGTGTACATGTCAGAATGGATCAAATTTTATATTTTAAATATGTGCACTTCATTGTATGTCAATTATACTTCAATAGAGCCATCAAACAAAAAACAACAATTAACAATCAAATGTTAATGAGAAAGGAGAAATCATAGTGATTGAGGGCATATGAATTTTGAAGTCAGAGACTCAGGTTCAAATCTCAGCCTTTCCATTTTCTAGCTGGGAAACTAGCTTAATCTCACTAACCCTCAGATTTCTCTTCCATAAAATGGGGATACTATTATCTACTTTATAGAATTATCAGAACATTTAACTAAGATGATGCTTACAAAAAGTTTAGCACAGTGCCTGACAAACAGCACAAGTTCAATAAATAGCAGCCGCTATTATAAATCTGAAACATAACGCAACTATTATGATCATTGCTATGGTGTTTAAATGTTAAATAGTATCATTTACAAAATCATCACAGTAGCAGTTATGAGCACTGATGTGGGGTATCAACATCAACATGACAGTCAAATAGAAAAAAGTAATACGTATCTTAGTTTGAAAAAACACTGTAAGGCACAATCAAGAAAGAAAAAGTGTTAGCATCAGGAAAAAAATTCACAAAATACGTTTAAAGTTACAGTGATGAAAGTATCTGACCCTGAAGAGACTGAGAAGGAAAATAACTAAGGAACCCCTAAAGGAGGGGGGACTCTGTCGGAACAGTATAAAACACCTCGCTCACTTTAAAAATTAACCCTAGAAAACAATGCTTTATCCAATAAAGGTAGCTAAACGTAAAACATGCCTTCAGGTCTAATCTAAGAGTTCACAGAAAGAGGAGGAGGAGGGTGACGTGGAACAAAGCGCTCGATTCTGGCCCTCACCGCGGTGGCCGGAGCCCTGGGCTGGCGGCTGGTGCACAGCGGACCCTCAGAACAGTCCCTTAGCTCCTGCTGTGCCTTCCCCCTGTCCTTCCCGATCCAGGGAAACCATGTCCACCTGGCGTTTCTCTGCGGGAGGCTGCCTGCGCCAGCAGCAGCTGAAAGGAATCACCTCTGTGTTCTCCTGGGACCGGGCCAGCCTCCCAACCCAGTCTGGTATTCACTTGTGCCAATGGCTTGGAAAGTCTTTCTTTTCCCTTGAGGGAGCCCAAGAAGAATGTGGGAAGTTCAGAGAACAGGGCCCTGGCCCCTCGGCTGCAGACAATGGATGCAGTGACGCCAGGACTAGGAGAAGGGCCTGCGGGGATCGTCAAACAGCCGGCCAGTGTCTGTGCCAGCACCAGGATTGACTGGGACGGCAGCCACCGCACGGACCTCACCGCATGGAATTAGGGGAGTTTGCTTTTGCGTTTACTTTTAAGCGCGAATGTGTACGTTTGAAACTAAAAAGTAAAATAAGTAAGAGGAAATGGAGTAAACTCCCAGAAAACATTCAGGCTTTAGACATTTACTTCGAAATCTGAAGAGTCATCAATCCATTCGCTGGCATGTGCAGCGAGGTCCTCAGGCCTTCACAAAGCCACCTCTGTTCTTCCAGAGACTGGGCTCACCCTGCCATACTGCACGCTGACTTTGCAACAAGCATCCATTTTAGGCCCTAGGCCATTTCTCCCTAATCACAATCTACAGAGTTTTGGTCCAGTTCTCCATTCACCGTTCAACATTTGTTGAGCACATCGGG